AAAAAAAAAAAAAAAATTCTTGACAAAAATCATATTGTGTCTTTTTTTTTCTGGTATCTGAAACCAAACTCAGGTCCTTGCACTTGCCAGGTACATGCAGCACTGCTGAGCTACATCCCTGGTCCCATATTGTGTCTTCTCTGCATGGTGTTAAGACTCCCCGAAGTCAATGTATTCTTCCCCGCCCCCACCCCTGGTACCAGGAATCGAACTGAGGCTCTTACACTTGCAAGGCAGGTGGTGGCACCACTGAGCCAAAGCCCCTGCTGAGTCTATTTTTGGGGGGAGGATTTTGTGGTACCAGAGATTGAACTAAAGACCTTGCACATGCGGGGCAGGTGGTGACACCACTGAGCTAAATCCCTGGCCCTCAATTTATTCTTAATATTGGTGATGTTAGCTTTGACCAGGTAGTTCCGGTAAGGTTGAGAGGCTTTTCTATTGTCTCCACCTTTATAACTTTTTTCTAGTACTGAGGACAGACCGCACAGCCTTCGCACTGAGCTAATCTCCAACCCCCTTTATTTTAAGACTACTTCATTAAGTTGCCCAGGCTGGACTTCAATTTGGGATCCTCCTGTATCAGCCTCCCAGAGTGCGAGGATTCCAGGCATCACAGCCGGCAGTGTGTGGTTTGTGAAGAAATCCTGGAGGATTAGCCACAGGCTCTTTGATGAGCAATCCCTGAGATAAAGTTAGTGGACCTCATGCCTGAGGAGGAGGGAGCAGGACTGGGAGGGGAACCAGCTGTTGTTGTAACTCCTGTAACACAGGTGGCCTATGGGGAAATCCAGCTCCTGATGCCTCCATTGTGCTACACAGCCTTGCGTGGCTTGAGCCAAGTGACAGCTGCTGCACTTCAGCAACACCAGAGCGAGACAGAGCCACACCAGAGATAATGTTGCCCTTTAGGGATGTGCCCTCCTCTCTCCAGGGTCCCCCATGTCCAGCCCCTCATCTCTGCAGCTCAGAATATGTGGAGGAATCTGCACCCATTAAGACTCTCCAATTCCATCATTCCTTCCATGCTCACTTGGCATCCTGCCTAAGGACAAGCTTTTCTTCTTGGAGTTCAATATTAAGTAGTTTCAGAAGAATCTGCACTGAAAGTTTTTGCAGTAAAGAAGGAAGTCACTTGGTACTCTGGGAGGCTGGGGCAGGAGGACTGCAAGTATGAGGCCAGCCTAGCCCATTAGAGAGACCCTGCCTGTGATGGCTGTATCTAGCTGTCCTCGAAGCCTCATGGGGTCACACTGGGGTTCTTCAGAGGTGGCTGCGTCCAGAGTGTGTGACACTGGGATTGATTCATTGTGCTATGCCAGGATCAAGGGCAATGGGATCATAAATCCTGCCCACCCTAAGTCACCTGGACAAGATAGAAGGGATAGAAAGAGCTGGGGTCATCCCGTGTTGCTTTGCTGCCTTCTGCCTGCCATTAAATGTTTTTAAAATAAATTTTATTTTATCCAGTTCCTTCCTCAAGCCCCTCCCCTATGTACAGCTTTGTTTGCATTTTTTCCTTCTATTTTCACTTTTTTTCTTGTCCCTTCCTTCCTTTCTCCCTCACTCCCTTGTCCCCCTTCCCATTTAAACACTTTCTTCTCAATTCCCAACATCCATTATACAGTTCAGTCCTTATTTCCACTTTCGGTTTCTCACGCCAGAGAAACAACTTGGTATTAAAATGTGTGTCTGATTTATTTCACATAGGAGTATGGCCCCAAGGTGCATCCATTTAGCTATAAATGTCTGAAGCTCATCCTTCTTTACTGCCTGCCATGAGCTGGCTGTTTCTCCACTGTGTTGCCCCCCTGCCTTGGAGCCTACAGATTATGGACTGAAACCTCTACAAACTGTGAGCTAAATAAACCTTTCCTCCCTTGAGTGTTGGGTATTTTGTCTCAGCAATGAAAACAGTAACTAAGACACTGTCTCAAATAAAATCCTAAAAGGGCCAGGGATGTAGCTCAGTGGTAGAGCACACCTGGGTTTTGTGTCTAGTACCACACACACACACACACACACACACACACACAATGACTTCCATATGTGATTATGTGCTCAGCATGAGGTGGGCAGGAGCCAGGCAGGACAGGTGAGCTCAGGGCAGTCAGCAGCAGATAGGACTCTCAGCCAAGATGGCTGCAGCGCCACCCTCCTGACCCAGCCCAGAAATCACATCACATTGCTTCACCCATGCTGGGACCCACCCAGCACCAAGGAAAGGAGTCACTTGAGATCAGACTGCTGAAGAGCCCGTGGGGTGGGGACACAGTCCAGCCCATCAGGGGAGAGTGCAAAGCCCCCTGAGGGCTCACTGCGGAAGGGATGCAGCACGCACAACCAGACAGAAGGCCCAGGCTCAGGGTGTGTGGAGGCAGTGGCTGACAGAGGCCATGGTGTGTCCTCCCAGCCAAGCAGCACCCAGGCCTAAGAGATGGCACCTGGCCAGCCACAGCTGGGGAGGAGCAGGGACCCCCAGGCTTTGGGACTCTCCCTGTGTGCCTGTGTCCTGCGGCCTTATTGATGCCCTGCTCTGAGGTTTCTGCTTGCTCTAGCCCCTCCTCCAAGGGCTTCTCAGGAGTCCAAAGGCAGGGTCACTCTGCCTCAGCCTGAGCCTAACTGGGGTTGGACTGTTCCACTCCCTCTCCCTGATACCAGTTCACTGGTGAGGCCTGTGGGCTCTCCCTTCTTCTCCCTGTTCCCCGGTCTCTGGACAGGGTACACTCTAGCCATGTCCCCGAGGTTTCTGGGAGTAAAGCCCAACTACTTCCATCACCCTGTCACACAGCAGTGCTAATCTGGCACATCATCCCTTGCTTCTGGATGGAGTCTATTCTGCTAAAACAAACAAATAAACAAAAACTTTATTTTTCTCTTATTTGGTGGGGGAAGAATACAGGTCTATGTAATCCATGCTGGCCTCAAATTCCTGGACTCAAGCAATTCTCCTTCCTTTTGTGTGCTTGGACTATAGGCTCACACCATTACAACTAATGGTAGTCTCACTGTGTAGCCCAGGCTGGCCTCAAACTCACTACAATCCTCCTGCTTCAGCCTTTCACATGCTGGGATGACAGGCATGTGCCACCAACCCTGGGTCTGACTGTACTTTAAAATCAAATAATGACAACAATGATTTTTCTATGAAGATACAGAGCTGGGGCAGAGAAAACTATCCTGTTTCTGTTCTTACCTGTAGGGTTTTGAATTTATAAAGATGACTGGGTGAAGATAAGGAGAAGTTAATGCCATTGAAGTTTTATAAATATAACTGAGTGAAGATAAGGAGAAGTTAATGCCATTGAAGTTTTTAATTAAATTTTTTGCGAGGTAGGTGCAGGCCATGCCACACCCTGGCACTGAGTTTTGCCACATAGAAAAGCTCCAGGCCTTGATCAGGAGGCAGAGAAGGCCTGAGGAAGCTAGAGCCCTTCTTAGGTCCCCAGGGAAAACCAGGCAGGGTATGGCTGGAGTGCAGGGACTGCCTGTGGGGGCCCATTCCCAGCCCCGGGCAGATTACAGTGGGGCATCTATTTAGCCTGCTGCAGTTACAGCAGGAGCCCCAGGGAGCAGGTGTCTGATTGGAAGGGGAGATGCAATGTGCTTAATGGAAAGCAAACAGAGATGCAGAATCTAAGAAACGGGGCATCCCCAAGTGCGGTAAACTGTGGGGGGGTACCCCATGGTGAGTAGAGTAGACACAGGAGCCCTCAGGTTTTGGTCACAGCTGCTGCCGCAGCTCGGTCTTCACCACAGCAGGGAAGGCTGGCACTGAGGGTGATGGGCATTCCCGAGAGCTGAGGGATCACCCTAGGCCCAGCCCCTGGATGCCACCTCCAGAGACCTCTCTGCTGATCACCCACCCCAAGCAGGTGGTCTCGGCACCGAAGACAGCAGCCAGCAGCCTTCAGTGCTGCTTTGGGTGCAGAAGCTCAGCTTCCCCCACAGGAGGCCGGAGGCTGGGCAGCTCCTGGGGCGGGCCACCGGTGTAAGTCTGGGCGGCTTCACCCCACTGCGTTCCCAGGGTGGGGCTAGCCCCTCGGCTCAGCAAAAGCTCCACCGTGACGCTGTGGTTGTGCTCTGTGGCGAGGTGCAGCGGCGTCTTGCGGAGCCAGCCGGCAGCGTTGACCTGCGCGCCACTGTCCAGGAGGTGGCCAGCGACCTCAGCGCGGCCT